ACTGGACCCTGAGTGCGAGAACGCTTTTGCACGGACTGATGAAAGGAAGAAGCGGTATGAAGAGCAGAAAATACAGTACCCGAAGAACTTGGTCAATGCCTTCAATGCAATCGTCTCCAGTTTAATCGGAAACGGAGAATTCAGTCTGCAAAGATTCGCCAATTTCGACCGGCTTATTCACTCTGTCAGCATACATTTTACGGAACGATACATGCGAGTCACATTTGACAAGGAACATAGTCACTGGAGGGAGTTCGCAGTCGACCAGAATGGAGACGTCATCATCAGACAACTAGGCTCAAAGCCACGCCACCTTCTAGACCTTCCTCGAAGTATCCTGTCAAAGATCATGAAACTAGCGGCACTATCGCCTGAAGGTCCCATACTAGACATGGACAATCATACCATACATGGGCTACAACTGAATATCTGGCAGCTCAGCAGGGAGTCACGTTCTGACTTTATGATCAGAAACATGTTAACCCACAACGCAAACGTTACTATGGTCAAAAGGAGTACCGCGTGTGAGACCAGTTTTAAGGACTTCCACTTTTTACGATTCCACTGCCATACACGTCCTTGCTGCTTCTTCGTACCCAGATGGGATAGATCCATCGCGTCATTCAACATCGCTCTCGTCTTCGAAACCGCCGCCGCAACATCACTAAGCACGCTGCGTATCAACGTCATAGGCCTTATGAAGGCGTTGAAAGATGCCGCAAAGGAACAGGTGAGCATATCCATCTCGCTCAAGCCCCCGGGCGCAGATGCGTGCGAAGGAATGCAGAGTGGCAAGATTCCCCTGCCAGATCTGGAGCGAAGAGTCTTCTTGCTCCTATCTGATGTCATAGCTGGCTGGGACGTTGCAGAGGACAAGCTACCGGATATCTGGATGGACGGGCACGGAAAGCTCATCAGCGCGACATACTCTGCTTCTGCTACTGTATTAGCTAGCCGCGTTGAGAACCGGCATGCGAAGCTCAAATCAGTCGAGCTGCAGCAAAGAGGGTACCAATTTGCTATGGACCTGTCTAATGACAAAAAGGACGTGGAAGGGGGTCGACGCGCTATGTGGTCCGCGCTCCGAAAAGAGTATTGGAATGATTGGCAGGATTCGGCACGGAAGAGGAGAACGGAGGAGGACAGATTGGACATATATATAAGGGAGAGAGATGAAGCTATGAGGGAACAGTCTGGTTTCGACTTGATTGAATGTGAAGAGGGAAGGCTGGGTCAAGGGGGAAGTTTGAGAAGGGGTATCTGAGGACTACTCCGTGATCCATTCCGAGCGAGAGAGGATTGAGAAATCAGGATTTATGCGACATGAGGGGTAGAACAGCAAGAGAAGCGGAGGAAGGACTAAAGAGGATGCTCATTTAATGGACGCCACAAAAGCGTTTAATGACGATCAATATCGGCAACCTTAAAAAAAAACTCGCCTTCATAGAACGAGACAGAACGATACCGTATATACACTGCCTTGACTTGACGCATACGCGCTAGAACGAGTTCCCTCAGGAACAGAACAATGCAATAGCCAGCCACGAAATCACAAGACGCAAAAATACAACTCGCAATGACGCACGCAGAGTGATTTAACAAAACAACCAAAACAGAAGTTCACAAGAGGCTGAAACTGCGTTTACTTTACCCAGAACACGCGTGACGTACACCTCCGTGCTTTCTTCCCGTCTTCCAGTTTCACAAAAACATGAGTGACATCATTTCCGTGACAAGAGCCGAAACAGTAGAAGAAGCAAGAACGAGAGAGCTGAGCGCGGGTAAGAGTGTGAGAAAGGTGGGAGATGAGGAGCACGTCATTAAGTGAGCTTGAGAAAGGAGGATGGAGGATGGAGGACAGGAGATGCAAGATTGGAAAGTGGTATAACCTTGCGATTACAGGCACCCTCCAGAACACACAGATACGCAATGCTAGAACGCTACAAAGTATAACCAAACAAACTGGGCGATGCGGCTATGCCATGATTCGATATAGCGAACAAACAGCCACACGACTCCTAAGAGCGACTACCGTTCATAACACTCGCCGGCAACTCGCCACCCCGTATCTCACTCATCGCATACCCAGGGCGCCACGCAGGATGAATGTCGTTCAACGCGCCTCTCGTGCTATCCCGTACATTGCTTGTGTGTCTCGGTTCCGCTTCAACGATGTAACTGACGCCGTCTTCTGAGGCGTAAGATGGGGGGCGGGGACCTTCTTGCTGGGGTTGCGCAGGTGATGTCGATGTTGCGCTGCCGCGGAGAGACGCCGCAGCGAGAGCCGCAGGACCAGACAAAGAGACGTGTCGGGATTGTGTAACAGTATTGGACATGGCACTACCCCTCGTCGCATCCTCAACCCTCTGCCAATGAAGCAGATTCGGATCAACCCTCACACTACTCCTCCAAAGCCCGTACGCGGGCGGCGGAGGCGGCGGCATATTCTTTCCCTCCTCATCCCCACTCGCACCCACCATGTCGTTCTCCAACACATCATCCATATCCGCGTCTTCTGCGCTTTCCTCGTCGCGCCGCAGGTGCACGCGAATGGGGACGATGGGCTGGAAACCGTCGCCGCCGCCCGTCATGTCGGGCATGGCGGCGCGGTGTTCGTGGCGCGGCGGGTTCAGCATGAGCATGCAGAGGCGGATGAGGGAGTGGCAGAAGAAGATTGTTATGGTGAGGAGGACCATGATGAAGAGGATGTGGATTTCTTGGCCGAGGGAGCGGTTGGTTAGGGCGATGGCTAGGTCTGTGGGGGGGAGGAGGGGTTGTTAGTTTTGCATGTTCTGAGAGTGGGAAAGGGAGGGGAAGGATGGAGAGGACTTACAGATTGCGAGGATGGTGATGAGAAAGGTGCCGGATATCACACATGCGATCATCTTCCCGCGTGCAGCTGATCCGCGGATGTATACTGCGGTGGTGCCGCGCTGTTCGCGCCTGCGTACCCATCCGTTGGAACCGCTGGATGCATTGGATGCGGATCGTTCGGTGCGGTGGTGCTTTCTTCTTCGGTGCTTCCGTCGCTTGTGTCGTCGGCCGTTTATCTCGTCTTGTAGTTGCTGGATCTCTGGGTCTACGAAGCCCTCCCGCTGGTTGGGCAGTGGTACATCGGCTGGGTGACGAGCGTAGAGTGTGGTTGGTTGCTGCGGATCTTGAGGCGGGTTGATGGCGCCGATGTAGGAGCCCGCGGTGTGGTGCGCATGAAATGGAGCCCTCGAATCATGTGATTCGCGATGCGCGTTCTGATGGGTGGGTAGCCCGTCCTGGTTGGCCGGTTGTTGGCGGTTCCAGAAGCCCAGGAAGGGCGTTTTGGGTGTGTTGATGTTATTGTTGTTATTCATAGCCGGCGACTGCGAGTATATCGACGACCCGTTGACCATCCCCCGCACATTACTGCGGAACGCGCTGAACCGAGATGTCGACTGCGTTGCCGGCGTTGCGTCGAAGTCCTGGTTCTGGTCTGGCCGCGGCGACCAAGCGAAGAGTGGTGACCGAAACATGGTGATCCGTATATAGCGCGGTGGGTTCCCTCAAGTCCAGAAATATACGGTTACGAGCCCCCAAGTTCTATCTTGGGCGTACGTGAATCCCTTATAGCAGACGCGTCGTGCTAGCCCAAGGTCTCTGTGTTGATTTCACTCAAGACAAGACAAGGGCGAATAAGAGAAAGGATACTCCAGAACCAATGCAGGAACGCCGTGTACCCGAACCGTTTCCAGGAACAGAAAGTGTGGAGTGAAAGAACAATGAATAGATCTCGCCCTTGCCCAAGACCCTACCCAGCATATGCAAAGTAATCCAGTTGGAGCGAACCGTTTGGCTACCAACCTCTTAACTTTCTCGAAAAGCGTCGAAACAAAGATCTTCTTCCCAGACTCTGAAAGTGAATAGTAAAAGGGAAAAGAGTGGAAAAAAGGACCAGACAGGGCTATCCAGCAGCGCACCTCGGCCAAACGAGCGCAAAAGAATGAAAAGAAGCGAAACAAGCAGGAGCACAGCAACCGCTACCTCTATTACCAATGACTGGAAGGAAAATAGATGCAAGACAAACACGAAGGAGATGAAAGAGTAGGAAAGTAGGAGGTGGTGGTCGCGCGCTCCGCACCCAAGATGACATGGGTCACAGCGTCCCAATAGCGATGGACGGTCAGAAGTCGAGAAAGCATTGAGCGCCATGCGTTTCCGCGACGAGTGGCGTATCAGACTTTGATCGCTGGAAAGGTGAAACGCGTCTCCGCCATGAGCCCGGCAGCAGCAGCGATCCAGGACGTGTCACGGACCGCGGTTCGCATGTATCGGTGCATCAGATCTGGATGTTCTCGATTCTCCTCGAGTCTGCGGGGCCTGTGGTGGGCGACCGACAGCCGCTTGCTGAGAAAGTTACTGGTGCTCAGTCGTTCCTCATTGGGGTAGACGTTTCACGTTGTTTTTGTCCCAGCCAACCAGCGCGCGGCGGGCCTGACGCTTTTGCTACTACCACCTCCTTCCGGTCACCGGTATCTATTTACGTGCAACGGCATTCATAACGGTGCATAAGACGCGGGTATTCATCTTGATTGACTTTCGTTGTATTTTGTTTACTCTTTACATTGTCGACAGTGTTGCGCGTCATAACTGTCCAAAAGCAACATGCGGGTCGTTTCCTCGACGCGTCTTTTGACCCTCTTCCTTCGCTGTGTTGTGGAAGACAGTACATGCGACTCCGTACCCTGTCAAATGTCGCACCGGCGTATCCAGTTCTATATGTAAACAACGCCTTGTGACGTACCGTGGGGCCGGATGTTCCTCGGGCCTTTCTCTCCACGTTTTTCCCCCGGGGGTTGATGATCCATCTCGAAGCATGTTTGCGTAGCCAAGTTGCTTCCTACGCACCAAGTTGCTTCATCTCCACGTTCACTTGCCTAGCTCCCCTACCATGAGCTTGCGGTCTGAAGATGCGGATACCACTAAGATTGCCAAGTTAGCTTCGTGTTCGAAAGACCATAGCTTTGTGTTCAGCGGTGAAGAGTGTCAATGCGAAGGACTATTCTCCTATCCGCCTCAAGCGCTAACAATCGAAATTGTTCGCTCGTTCTCCAAACCCAATCCGCCACGACCGCCATCCGGTCAGAAAGCTGAAGCGTAGCGCGGGGTCCGGGGCGGAGAACAGGTAGAGGGACGAATGCAAAAGGCGATGTAGGGTACTTACAAATTGGTTCACCGAGCGGGTGGAACCGCACGTCGTTGACGGCACCTCGATGGCCGGGAAGCTTATGCAGTAGCTTTCCTGTTCGGGTTTCCCAAACGGCTACGCTCTGGTCTCCGCTACCGGCTGCGATCTTCTCGCCCTTGGAGTCCCAACTCGCCTTTAGCAGGTTGCGCTCTTGACCCGTGGGGGCTCCGTCGTATGTTTGGATGCGCCTGTCTGCAGGCGCAAAGGGTCTCACGTCCCATGTTCTGACGGTCGAGTCGTGTGCGTTGGAGAGGAGGGTTTGGTTGTCTGGAGACATTTGGAGCGAAGTGACGGTGTCGGTGTGACCGAGGAGTGTGTATGTGACGGCTTGTTTCCGCAGATCCCAGACTTTGATGTCGTTGTCGATGCCGCCGGTGAAGAGCTCGTTGCCGGCTTCGGCCAGGCATATAGCGGTTATGGGGAAGTCGGTGGGGATGAATGTTACGGCGTCTTTCGTTCTCGTGTCCCAGATCTATGAGAGTTAGAAATGCTCCAGAGTGGTATACTGAGGTACTCACCCCGATGTAGCCGTCGTCGGACCCGCTCACGAGCATCTCTTCACCGCGCTTGCTCACGTCCATGCAGTTGATAACCTCCTCGTGCCCTGGGTGTCTTCGTATCCTCTCTCCTGTCTCCACGTCCCAACTTGCTAGGTGCATGTCTGCCGAGGCGGAGAAGAGAACCTTGGAGTCGCGCGACCAGTGCAGATCCAGGACTGCCTGCTTGTGTCCAGTGAGAATGCCGTAGTTTTCGCATGATCCAGAGCTGCGCCAGAGTACTGTTCATGTTAGCGCATATCTCTCACGTGTTCACAGTTCACTGACATATAGAGCGGTCCATGGAGCCCGAAGCTATGTACTGTCCTGTCGGATCGAAGCGCGCGGCGAAGATCTCCCCAGAATGGCCCGTCAACTCCATAACCGGCGACTGCAGCGCGCTGGTACGCGGGCCCTACAGGACCTGTCAGCACGTCGCAATCTTCAGCTTGGTACTCTATCAAAAGTCCGTGGGCATAACATACCGCTTGTATCAGCGCGCCATTTGCGCCCGAGCCATTCACGACGGCTACTGCAGAGCTTCCCAGATTCGCGTCCGACTTGGTGCGCTTGACCAGCTGGCTCGTGCCGAAAGCCTCGTTGGCGGGTCGCTTTTCTCTCGACATAGCGATGGAGGGGTGCTTGATTCGGTATACGTGTGGGGTACGTGGATTGGTGCGCGGTGGTTGTGGTCAGTTGTAGCTGGTAAACTTTCCTCAAGGCAGATCTACGCTAGGGCCCGGGCGTCCCAGGTACGCTCCTCCGCAGTCAGCATGCTCCCCGACGCAACAACACGACTTGATATCAGCGACTTAATATACCAAACACACGCAACAGTCTACTCTCACACTTCGACACCACACACATCGTCCGACTAAATCCCCGCAATCATGGCGTCATCGACCAAAGCAGCCCGCATGGGCGAGGAGTGAGCTCCAGGCGTCTAGTAGTTGCTGCACATGTGCTAATAGATGTCAGAGTGTGGAAGTAAGTCTCGCATATGGCCACTCTAAGCGACCGCTTCTGACGGTGCCAGGACTCGAGTAGACAAGGTCAGCGCCGAACTCGTCACCCTCACATACGGCACCATTGTCGCGCAACTATGCAAGGACTACGAATACAACTACGCCGATGTCAACAAGCAACTGGAGCGCATGGGATACAACATCGGCATACGGCTTATTGAAGACTTCCTCGCCAAGTCGAGCGCGCCTGCCTGCACCAACTTCCGCGAGGTCTCGGAGATGATCTCAAAGGTAGCGCCACCGACTCAATGGGATATAGACCGCAAGCTGACATACGGTTGTAGGTCGGCTTCAAGATCTTCCTCAACATCACACCGACAATTACCAACTGGTCAAGCGACAACAAGCAGTTCTCCCTCATCTTCGAGGAGAACCCGCTGGCCGACTTCGTAGAGTTGCCTGACGACGGCCGCGCGCAGGACGAGCTGTGGTTCTCCAACATACTGGTGGGCGTGCTGCGGGGTTCACTAGAGATGGTACGCATATACCGCATCAAGATGGGGCGTGGGCAATGGACTAACACCCACCAGGTACACATGCAGGTTGAAGCACACTTTGTCAGTGACGTCCTTCGCGGCAACGACACAACGGAGATGCGGATAACGCTGATCCGCTACATTGACGACGAGATGCCACCCGATGACGAGTAGAATGAGGTAGGGTCGAGGAGAAATTACACTTGCTATTTAGGTTTAGCAAGCAGGCATTCGCCGATCCATGTATAGTGTGGAAGCATGACGGAGAGATATGCGATAGCAAGGTAGGCATTCTCTGAAGACATCAACTGGAGAGAATTGCATACTGTCGTGCTGTCATGGAGTCGGGCAGACGATTCGTGCTCAGACTCGATGCACGACTAGATAGGGTGCACTATTGACGACGGCCATGGAAGCCAATTAGAGGGTAATTGCAATCGCGCAATTGCACTACCACACCATCGACGCACCATTGATCGCTGAAGGCGGCCTCGCAGGCTACATTGTGCATTTAGTCTTTGCAGCCCCTTAATTTTACTGTGTAGGACTTGTTGACTTGGATTTTGCGCAACTACGACCAAGTCGGTGAACCCATCAGGGTGTATGAATGATCTGCTACCAGTACTGGTCGGGGCATGACGGTCGGGTTCGCGTTACATGTGCCCCACCAACCTCCCTAGATATCGGCCCTGGTGCATACGATACTGCGATGCGGTCACGATACTTCAATTCCGCTATGTCTGACGTCTTGAATTGCTTTATGCGAGTAGAAAAGCAAATATCGAGGCAGTTCTGATGAGAGCGCGATGCTGCGCATTGGGGGGCTGGAGCATAGGGGATCTAATAATACCGAGATCACGTGGACCACTTGGCGCAGCTCACGAGCGGCCGCTCTTCCCCTCGCGCTGAGCAGCTCAGAGTTTGCACGCTCCCGCTGCAGTCTCGTTGTGCAGTTGCTTCAATCGCGCCCTCTCGTGCAGGCAAAGAATATCGCAGGTGTTGTTGTCGTGATCGCATCTCTTGGCAGACCCGTGTAGCGCGCCGTGAGGTCCCTCCAGGGCGCTGTTCAAGACCTTCCTTCACGCTAACCCCCCGACCCATAGTACCGTGCATCAGCCGCCGCCTTTTCATCGCGACGACACCAGCGTCGCTACCCACACCCGGCACCCCAGAGCTGCCATCTCGCGCGACCTCCACGCCATCGACGTCCTCCACCCGTCCTTGGCACGACGCTCCGCTCCGACACGCACCGTGGCGACGCCCTCCCATGCTGTTGTAGAGGCCCGTCCAGCACCGAGGTGCACAACACAGCGCGTCTATTGCTACCACCGCGCACCTATCGCTAACCCCCCACCCGTCCACCGCGCCTGCCGCGCCGCCCGACTCCTTCCCTCGCGATGCAGAACCAGCAAATGGCGCAGATGGCGCAGATGAATGCGAACGGCTCCCTCAACGGCACCCCCATCATGGGCAACATGGCGCATCCCAAACGCATGGGCGACCAGGACCCCAAGGAAAAGCTCAACACGTACATCTACGACTACTTCCTACGCAACCGCCACCACACCCTCGCGCGCGCCATGCTCGACTGCGACCTCAAGCTCAACACGGAGAAGGCCAGCCCCAACAACAAGCCCAATGGCGCCAGCGACATCGACATGCCCGACGACCTGCCCCTGCCGCTCATGCCCCCGGGCCAGGCCGCCGACAACTCGTTCCTGCTCGACTGGTGGGTCCAGTTCTGGGACATCTTCGCCGCTGCGAGAGGCGGCGGCGGCGGGCCCAAGAATGCCGCCCAGTATCTCGGCCACAACCGGGTAGGTAGCCGCGCACTGATAGACACGGAGGCGTACTGACCGAGACGCAGAATCTGGGCCACATCCAGAACCAGCAGCGGGACCAGCGCCTCATGATGGCCACCAACCCCATGAACGGCGCCCAGTACATGATGCGGAACGGTGCCATGACCAACGGCAACCAGACCGACCTCAAGCGGGCAGCCGCTATGAACAATCGACCGTAAGCCCTCGACCCTCGCACTATCTCTGCGATCTCGCGATTCTCGAACGCCGACTAACACCCCCCAGCGCCGGCAACCCCATGGCGGGCATGCAGCCCATGAAGAACCCCAACATGATTCAGATGCAACGAGACGGCTCCAACATGGACATGAACGGCAACCGCCCCAACTCGCCAGGGTCCAACGAAAATGCCCCTTCGCCAAACAAGCGCCCCCGCGTCGACGGTACGTCATCTGTCACACCCATGTGGAGAGTACAAGCTAATCAAGACCCGCCCACAGGTGGTATGAACGCCGGTAACATGCCCAGCAACCAGTTCAATGAGTTCATGCCGCAAGGCCCAGGTGCGCAGCAGAAGAACATCGAGGTATATGCCCAAAGTCTGGCCCATCAACACAGAGTGGCAATGAGTAACACTTCCTCCCCCCAGGGTATGAACTCTGGCGTCCAAGGCTCCCCCATGGCCCAGTCCGGCCTCGACGGGCAAGACCTAACCTTCGCCGGCAACGGTCCACGGCCCGGCAACATGCCCAACAACCCTCCAGGCGCTCCCCAGCAGGGCAACCACGCGCTGCAGGACTACCAGATGCAGCTCATGCTGCTCGAGCAGCAGAACAAGAAACGGTTACTCATGGCCCGCCAAGAGCAAGACAATCAATCTGGACATCCTCAGCAGGGCGTCATTGGCGCCCCAGGTTTTGGCGCAGCCATGTCGCCTCAAGGTAGCAGAGCCGGCGGCCCATCACCCAACCCCGCCGACCAGATGAAGCGAGGCACACCGAAGCTCGGCCAGCAGAATCTGCCTGGCTCGCCTATGCCCGAGGGAATGATGGGGCAGCAACGTGCATCTCCCGCACCCAACATGAACTTCGACCCCAGTCTGGCACCCCCAGGAATGCCTCCACAATTCTATCCCCAGAACATGTCCGGCCCGAATGGCAACCCCATGATGCGGCCTCCGAGCTCACATCCGCAGCCGCCCAACTTCAATGGTCAGCAACTAACGCCTGCGCAAATGGAAGCCATGCGCAATGGCCAGATGCAACAGAACGGTTGGCGAGGGCCCCAACCAGGAATGATGGGTCCAGGTAGCCAGCAGATGGGAGGACCAATGGGCCAAAACCCTCAGCAACGGCAGCAAATGCCGCCGCCTCCAGCGCCTACGAACGAACCACCCCGGCCAGAACCCTCTCCATCCGTGTCTAACCAGGCACCACCGACCCCAAACCAAGGAAACAAGGCCAACCCCAAGAAGAAGGTGACCAAAGACAATAAGGTAACGTCTCGCGCTTCTCCTACACCTTCGAGCATCGTTGATATTGATTTTAGAAGCCCGCAAACAACAAAAAGGGGGCGGCAGGTTCTACTCCCGCCACGACAAACGGCGAAGAACCACCGACACCCACATCCTCCACTCCCGTCGCACCCATCACGCCAGTACACAAGCAATCCTTCAACCAGGGACAAAACGGCCAGCCGCAACCTGTGCAACCCCAACCGCCCTCCGACCAAAACATGGACAACGGGGGTCCGCCATTTGGCAACATTGATGGTGACGTAAGTTTTAGACTCTCTGCTTTGCGTAACATCTACTAACAGATTTAACAGCCCAACGGCTTCGATCTCGGCCTCAACTTTGGCGACGACGCTGGCGCCCTCGAAACTTTCGACTTTGACTCGTTTCTACAGACGGGCAACGACAATGACGCTTTTGGCAATCTAGTCAGCGACTTTGATTTCCCCAATCCCACGGAAGTATAGTATCGTCGTCGATTACTTAGTTAGCTGGCTGGCTGTTTTGGTGGAACAACAAAAAACAAAACCCCCTCTTGTTTTCATATACCCTTTATGTTCGTCTTTCGAGACGGCGCTCTATCTACATCGATCGCTTTTTTGGGCCATCATCTCTTCTCTCATATTGGAGCATAACGGGGCTTCCTTTGGGCTTTGGGCTAGGAGACAGGGCGGCGATTGGTCCTTGCAAACCCTTTCTCTGCTTCTGTTGTTGCTATCGGGCGTTTTTGTTGCAGCTTCCTTGGGCGCTACTGCTTATCTTGCTATGTTCTTGATTACGCAACCACGCTATTTACTCTGATCATGTCGTTGGTCTTTGTCTTTCCATACTTATCGTTACCTACCTACCTACCTACCTACCTTACCTACAAATATTTCTTTATCTGTTCACACTATCACATCACAAAGACTCGAACATATATTCTTCTTGCATTCGCTTATCTGCACTTCTGTGTAGGGAGGCCTTTTTGTTTTGGTTAAGACGATTCCGGGAGCGAGCGAAAAGGAAGACGAAGGAGCGAGATAGGTGCCAGGTAGAAGTCGAGAGGGTGGATTGGGTCTGAGACCCGTCTTTGCTATACCATTTTCTTTCATACTGTTGTTTTGATTTGATCGTGAGGAGGTGAAGAGAGATAGAAGACGGGGAGGTTGGAGAAAGGATGAGTGGCGAAGAAGAAGAAGAACGGAATGGGAGATGGGGAAGTGAGAAGAGAGATGTAAAGACAGATTCTTATCATTCGAGATGACTTAATGCCTGAATAAGTTCTTTTTTTTTCGAGAAGACGAGCCGGAGATGCATGCCTTGAGTAAACGTAACTGTGACTGGGTAGACAAGGTGTGGTTGTCGTGTGACTCGATTCTTTTGAATGTCCCATTGCATTATCGAAGATGAGCAGTGGAGCGATGGAGCAATGTACGCTTGACGAACTTCATATTACTAACGAAGCAGTCATTGATATTCAGGCCACACTACCCATGCAAGAGCACCTTTCTCATACGGCTTAGATATCTGTTGCGGATGTCGCGGTATCTAAGCATTCGCGTGACGCCGTTGGTATATGTACCTGCCTGCTCCAAACGCCCTACTTCACAAACCCACTAAGACCATCGCGATCCCGCTGCAAAGACAGCTATGCCTGACGTAGACAACCCCCTTTCCCTCTTCCCTTCGCATACTCGTCACGTATCCATCATCCATTCATCCGCAAACCCTCCACCACCACTGTACCTCCTCACCTAAACTCCCCCAACGTCATCCAACATCCCGCCCCCCATCATTACCCCCAATGACCCGTTACCAAAAAGGGTCAAAGTCAAAGAACCACACCCCTACCTGCCGTTCTTACTAATGCGCAAAAATAGCCCTTTCGCATACCAAACCCTAAATGTCCCGAACGTCCCGGGCGTTGGGTTCGCACTAGTCCGTCACACGGCATCAGCAAGGTTTGGGGTTGGTTTTGAGTTTGGCGAAACGAGGCGAACTTCAACCTCCTCGTCTTTTCGTCATGGGACGTCGTTCTGATGTCATGCGGATGTGTTCGGTATCATCGGTATCGGAATCGCGAATGCGTGGGTTTTCGATGCTGTGATGAGGTGACGGATCGCGTGGGGTTTGTGGAGAAGGAGGATGTAGGGTAAGGTTCGGGGATGCGGATGTAGAACTGCATGCATGGCGAGGTGTGACGTACCGGGATAACTGGCATAGTATAGAGTTTTGATGATGTGTCTTTCGTTGAAGGCTCAGGAGGTTGGGAAGAGAAGGGATGGGAAGGGGGTAGGTAGGGTGAGTTGAGGAGTGGGATGTAAGACACGGAGATTATTGTACACTGCTCTTGTACTATTGGTTCTAAGAGATGGAGATACGGAACTCCTAATGATTGATGAACCAGGTTCTGGCTTCGTCGTCGACTTGAAATACGATAAAAGTCCGAAGCATGCAGAAGATGCTGCAAAACCCTCCAATAGCAGCACTCAAAGGCAGCAGAAGTAGTGTAGAATCGGTTGTAAAGACATGCAATCATTCTTTTTGCTATGCCAGCCAGGCTGCAACCATTCGTCGCATTCATACCCAAACCCAGCTCTATATACGTAGCTATTTGTACATTCTAATATTCGTAACCCATCCCAAGCCCATGCATATCCCGTAAACCAAATCACACTCTCATGTACTCTCGTAAGATCAAACTCAAGGAGAGTCGTAAACCAACCACATAAACACATTACCGTGACCCATGGACCCATCGGTTCATCCCTTGATCCTCATACCTCATTAACACATCTCTTCTTCTTCAAGGCTCCGACACGGAGTCTCTTTCGATAATCGCACTCAGCCTGTGAATCTTAGTACGTATGCTCGCCCCTCCCCCCAAACCCCTGTCCCTCCTGCGCCCTTTTCTTGCGCGCTTGATGAACAAGACCCTGTACACTATGCACAGCCCGCAAACGCTGCTGACTACTCACGGTAGGCAGAGGAACATGACCGTTACCCGGGGGTCCGCCGCCCATGCCACCCGTCATACCACCCGCATCCCCCCTTTCGAGATCAGGTTCTTGGCTGCCCTCCCTCTCCTTTTCAATGACTTCCTTGACTTCTTGGTCTTTATCGTCGTCGTCTTGACCGGGGTTGGCGACTTCGTATTCGAGTATCTTGATGAATTGGTAGAAGACGACGGCGATGATGGCGCCGGCTGCGGGGCCCACCCAGTAGATCCAGTGTTCGTTGTCGAAGACGCCGGTTACGACGCAGGGGCCGAAGGAGCGGGCGGGGTTGAGCGAGCCGCCGGTGTAGTAGACGCCGACGAGTTCTGCGATGAAGAGGGCGAGGCCAATGCCGACGGGGGCGATGAATGTAGCTGGAAGGTATTAGTGGGTGGTAAGGGGAGGAGGCTGGGTCGACATACCTTTGTGCTTCTCCTTTGCCAACATGAAGATGGTAAAGACCAGTTCGGCGGTGAGGATGGCTTCGATGAAGACACCCTGGGCTAAACTCGTGCCCTCACCCAACGTCGTCCGCACATTGAAGGATGTGGGGAACAAGACGCTGACGAGGAAACTGGCAAAGATACTTCCGCTGATCTGCGCTGCTACCAGCAGGAAGGCGCGGATGGGAGACAGAGCACGGCAGAGCAACATGGCGAACGTGACGGCGGGATTGAACAAACCACCGCTGATACGGAAGAAGACCCATACGTTTACCATGAGAGAGAAAGCGAAGACGAGGGCGATGTAGAGCAGGACGATGGGAGAGAAACCAGCGGATTCGTTGGTCGTAGTGTTGGAGTCGGGGGTGGCGGATGAGTCGATGTTGGCGACTTGGGTGCCGGAGAAGGCGAAGAAGAGAAACATGGTTGTTCCTACAAACTCGCCGACGAAAGCGACAAAGTCTGCGAGCTGAGTTAGCAACGTGGGAGAGTTGAGATGGAAGGGTGACTTACGGTTCTTTGCGTTACTTCCCATCCAGATCATCCATGGCAACCTCATCACACTCTCCTGTGGTGGGTAGACGGGTGGTCCTCGACTTCCTCCTGCGTAGGGTATGGGAGGGCGGCGTCCACCGTAGTTACCTCCATCGGGGTAGTACATTTCGTAGTTAGGCTTGCCTGGTGTGTCGCTGTAATAAGGCTGCATGTTGTGGTCGACACTGTTCCTAGGTATGGGCCCATACCTGGAGTTCTGCTCATGGTAGTTGCGGTACGCACTGGGAGGGCCTTGCGTTCTCCTGCTTGGGCGACGGTACGCGCGAGGATCGCGGGGATCGACGTCTTCCTCTTCAGAGTAGTCTTCTACGTAGGGGCCACGGTGTGTGGTTGGGCTGTAAGGCACAGGTTGAGATGGTCGTCGCGGACGAGGTGTTGCATCCCAGTCACGGATGTCGGCTTGTCCTCCCAATTTTCGATTGGAAGGCATTGGCGTTAGACCAAAGGTGTTGTTGGCCTGTTGTACGGGCGCGTTATGTGACTCGGGATCGACGTTGTAGTCCATATGTGCTTGGTGAGGCTGTGCAGGCAGTCGTAGAAGCTCCTGCCTCGAGTCGCTGGATCCACGTGGGTGTGTTGGCATGACGGGAGACTCCATTATCGTCCCATCTTGCAGAGTCTGACCGTAGTATTGAGGCAGTGAGTTGTTTGAGTTCAAACTTGACTGCGCCATGTAGGCGGTTGGTGTGAGGTAGCTGCTAGACTTGGCGGTGAGGTGGTTGATGGAGAGAAGACTTTCGTATTGGCGAGGGACGGTTATATTAGAGCGCCTGGGGAGCAATAAAGCTTATGCAGCTAGTTGAGTAACGGTGAAGTTTGGGTGTTTGAGGTCAGTGCAGATCAGTGGCTAGATGTATGAACTGGTGATGCTGAGCGACAAAGGAGACCATATATGCTCGGTGGCCAAGGCTATAGCGAAGACCCTGAATAGATCCTTCACCCGCTCTCGTCATACCTAATTTGGTTCAGTGTCGTCTCTTCGTAGTCTTCTCGGCGCGATAACTCTCCGAGCTTTGCTTCATTCGTTGATGGGAGCAACGGGTGGATTCCAGATTCAGGGTTTCCCATATCGAAGTCAAAGCGATGCTTACAATGACGTCGTCTCGCTGTCCCTTGATACAGAAATGGGTGGGATGTACTTGGCGGTGGCATGGGGCATCCTGTGGAAGAAGCATGGTTCACCTGGTGGGGGTGAAGAGGAGGTTGTCAGAGGGCTGGGCCAACGGTTAATTCGAACGGACGACGGCGGCGGCCAAATGAGAACGCAGCATGATCTTGAAAGTTACTCGAACGTTCACAGGGTAGTCGCTTGTAGTTGTGATCGCAGCCGGGATGTTCGTGGTAAGATGTCGGCTATCTGCCACACGTGCTAGTGGGATCCCTGCGGCACGCACGAGTACGAGCCCAAGTACCTGTTTCGCTAACAAAAGTAAAACGCCTAGCTGCGTGAACACGGAAGGCGTTTGAAATGGGCTAACAATGACGGCGGTCTGGAGGCCTAGGCAGTCAGGCGTTCACACGGTCGGCATGTTCGCAACGCGAAAAAGGAGTAAAGTCTATATTCGACACTGCGAATGTGGCTGGAGAGATGACCGAATTTCACGATCGACCATTCCGATGCAGCGGTATCACACGGCAGTGAACTATGTTCTAGGTCGGCGCAAGGGAGTCACATTCTCCGCTCTCCGGCCGATTTTGCGATGACAGACTTTGCGCGAGGCTGCGTAAGCACTTGCTCCAGATATCGGAGGCTGGAGGAGCGGGCCTGAATACGAGGATGTGTTGTCGTCAGATCCTTCGCGGCAGAAAAACAAAACGGGGAATATCGAGTTGTGATCCAGCCTCGAGCGGGGTGGTGGCTGGAGTATCCCAGGCTGTATCCATGTAGTGGATCCCGAGGGCTCCAGATCTTCGATGAGCTGACGTTGTAATAATCCGAGAAACGACCTACTCGAACGAATCAGAGCGAGTGACGCACTTCCGCGTGATACCGGAAGTTTCCTTGATCGTTCGGTAGTACTTCGCTCGATGTATACTGAAACGTGATGTACAGATGTACAGATGCACACTGAACGAAAAGGGCAACTTTGGAGCATCCTGCGGTGAAGAACCCATCAAGCCTCAAAGTGGCAGGTGCGAGTGCTGAGATGGCAGGCCCACATATGTGCTGGGAAGGAGGCCTTGAAGTGTTCAGACCCATGCTCTCTTTGACACGAACAAGGACGAGATGAAGAAGCAAGTACGAGATAACGCAAGCATCTGCCGTGAAGTCCAACAGCCCAAGTGCCAAGTTTATGTTCTTTCGATATCTTTATTGTTTATCATAGCAAGTATAACACGACGTATGGGTCGGCCCGCGATATTCGTCCGGAGCACCCGCTACGCGCTCACTTTTGCTCGCCCTGGCCGGAGCGCTCAGACTCAGCAATGACGTCGTCGCTGTGTTGTTGTTAGTCTCGTCTTTCGCCAAGCTATGATTACTGACATGTGCTTGTCCAAATCCTCCATGTGCTGCCTTTGCTGCTTGAGCTTGTCCTTGATTGCGAGAAGCCTGTTTGTTGTCAGAACGTTGTACAATGACAGAAATTTGTACCGGATCGTTGCTCGGTCTGAAACGGTGCGAAGTAATCATCGGGATATCGGGATATAGAGAGCTGGAGTACGTACTTGGCCTTCTCTTCTTGGCGGATGTAGAGCTCTTCGCTGGCAGCCTCGCGCTTGGTGAAGGCGTCACTACAATACCGGTTAGTTTGGATATAGTGTTTACAGTTCATGAGCATAGACTCACCCGCCAGCGGCACCAGTAGCCCTTGAAGCTCCAGAGCCGGTGGAGCCCTCAGCCATGCGGAGGGCGGAGGCGGAGAAGTAGCGAGGAGCGGCAATTGAGCGCGCGCTCTTGATGATGGATGTGCGAAGCATTTTGGCGGATCGGTGGTGAGATGAGATGCTGGGAGTTGGATGGTTATATGCAATTGGTATGCTGAGGTGGAGTGATGGCTCGACATCTGGAGGACATGGGAGCTTGGACGTGCATGTGCGTCATAGCCACGTGATCTTTTCGAAGGGTCTCAACATCGATGCCTGGCCCACTCGACAGTTTGGTACGCGCATGACCTCTTAGCATAATACGCCTGTATATCTAGGAAGACCGGAGGGGTAACGTTGGAGACACGTCTGTCGATGTGTTGTTGAATTATGAAAGTTGCTTCAGCATAAAAAGCACAACAAGCACCATGTGACAAGAAGACTTCGGCGTCTGTATCACTACAACGATTGCAACAACATGGTCTTGACCTCAAGGCTCTCCGAACAGCATGGCATGTTTTTCGTTCAACGCATATTCGGCGTGTTCACAGTCATCGCATCCATTGTCGGGGCAGAGCCAATGTGCGCTGCTCAAGGCCAAACGTGATGCCCAATGCTCGTAGTGAAGCCCGGTCCTTGTAGCTGTCATGGAAAGGGTGTACTGCGGGGCATGTTGTTCAGGGACTCGACGACAACGTCTCCAAGGCGACTCTGCAAGCCTGTAAACAACAGCAGGTACTACTCAGGCCAGGAAGGGGCCGCTGAGGCGGTGGCGGATGGTGTTCGCCTGTCAGAACAGAAGGTCGCGCCAGTTCTGGGCCGTGTGAAACCAAGGATAGGCAGGCGTGATCGACGCCAAGACGAGTCAACTGGTCGGGTTCTCTCCCTCTCAAGTCCCCTCCTCTGATAACTCAACCACAAGCCGCCCTTGACCAAAACATCTGCACTTCACTTTCTTGCCAACACCACATCGCCGCCTCTAGCAGCCTACATTCCCTCCCCATACCAACTTTTCTCTACGTAAGTGCTGCTCCACTGCATTTCGTCACTCCCCCCGAATCCGCGGACAGCTGCAATTTGCGCCCCCGGCCGCAGTAAACAAGGCCCGCTCTTCCCATCAGCATGGCCGGCTGTCGAAATCGCTCGTCTCCAGTCGCTCGGCCGCTGTTGTCGTGGGTGTCGTGTATCGGCGCTCTTTTCGGAGACCCGTGGTAGCTCGAGCCGCCCCTCTTTGCGCCTCTGTTGTGAGGTGTAGAGTCCACGCAAGCAATTGGCACATCTCCACTTGCCGCATACTCCGAGTCCTCAACACAAACAGGACAGCCAGCGAACAGTCGACAACGGCAGCGAAACGACATTTTCTCAGATTACGGCCATAGCGCACATTGAGGGGCTTGCTCGCTGTTGAGCAACTGCGATAGCCACTGGTTGCACTTGTCGCGCGCTTCAACTCGATTTACATCAGCTAACAGCGATTTGCACAGACCACACACCACAATGGGTTACGAAGACTCCGTGTACCTGGCCAAGCTGGCCGAGCAGGCCGAGCGTTACGAGGGTAAGCGCACCACAAACAACGCACCGCATCGTGTCCTAACGACATGTGACAGAGATGGTCGAGAACATGAAGGCCGTTGCCTCCGCAGACCAGGAGCTCTCCGTCGAGGAGCGAAATCTCCTTTCCGTTGCCTATAAGAACGTCATCGGTGCCCGCCGCGCCTCCTGGAGAATCGTCACCTCGATCGAGCAGAAGGAGGAGTCCAAGGGCAACGAGACCCAGGTTACTCTGATCAAGGAGTACCGCCAGAAGATCGAGGCCGAGCTGGCCAAGATCTGCGAGGACATCCTCGAGTGCCTTGACAGCCACCTGATCCCCTCTGCTGAGAGCGGAGAGTCCAAGGTCTTCTACCACAAGATGTAAGGCACCGCGTACATGTGACTAGCCAGTTTGCTAATCACCTTGTCTTTTTAGGAAGGGCGACTACCACCGCTACCTTGCCGAGTTCGCCGTTGGTGACAAGCGCAAGACCTCTGCCGACAAGTCGCTCGAGGCTTACAAGGCTGCTACCGATGTTGCTGCCTCCAACCTTGCTCCTACCCACCCCATCCGTCTCGGTCTCGCATTGAACTTCTCCGTTTTCTACTACGAGATCCTCAACTCGCCCGACCAGGCTTGCCAACTCGCCAAGCAGGCTTTCGATGACGCCATTGCTGGTATGTGAAGGACGAAGTAGTCGTTCTGAACAAGGCTAACGAATCTGCAGAGCTCGACACCCTGTCTGAGGAGAGCTACAAGGACTCTACCCTCATCATGCAGCTTCTCCGTGACAACCTCGTAAGTTCAGTCCGCAGCCCGTTTACCTCACACATGCTAATTCCTATCAGACCCTCTGGACATCGTCCGAGGCCGAGCCCTCCGGTGACGCCCCCGCCGGCGAGCCCGCCACCGACGCGCCCAAGGCTGAGAGCAGCGAGGCTCCCGCCGACGCCAAGGCATAAATACCGAAAAACCGATAACAGACGCAAAAATGGCAGGGGTTTAGTGGTTATTGGTGCATCTTGGTAAACGGTCAATGATGGCTAGACTCATCATTTTCTACAGTAGTGGCATGAGAGGGTATATCCTAGGTGTGACTTTTCAGGCCCCGGGTGCGCTTTGTTTAGACTCCAAATTCTCAATCCTGTCTACATCCTTTACCTTGGTGTCTTGGCCCTTTATACCACTATACCGTCCTTCTTCCCTGCCTAGTCTCGTTGGGTTTGACATGCTGTGTTTCAAGATTAGAGTGTGGCTGGATGGTGGCTATACGAAGTTCTGGCTCTTTTGCTGTTCCTACATTCTCTTCAAGACTTATAATCAAAGATATCCGCTTCTATTTGGGGTGTTGTGCAGGGTGTCAAGTGAATGTTGTTTGTTGACTGGGTATTCCTTCCGCATTGTACCGCTTACGTCACGTCACGCACGTGGTTAGAATGGGTTGTGGTCGCAGCTGCCTCTGTTCTTCACCTTCCCACCCTCGATCACCCGTACTTCATCCGGACACCGTCGCATAGTTCGTAAAGCATATATGGTTCACACAGTTGCAGAAGCTAAAATATACACAAAGGCCGCCAGTACATCCACGAGTCAAATATGCGTCCCTCGAAAGCAATGAGTGCTGACGCACAATATGTATTTTCAGAACTTCCGAGGAAACTACGACAATGAAACCGCGAAAACACAGACCACCCAGCAAACTTTTGTATTGCCTCCCATCGATAGTTGCCTGGCTACTGCCTATATCAAAAGGTCGACCTTCTTCAGCCCTTTGTACAGCCTCTTATCGCCCTCAACACGCCAGATAACCACACCGTCCGAGTTCGAATTCCAGTTTGAAGGAGCACTCGATCAGCACTACCTTCCAACTGAGCCAACTGTATCACAAGCATCAACCATGGACACAGCCAGCTCGGCGCCGCCAGTTCAGGCTGCCAATCGCACCACAGGCACAATGACAGTGACGACGACCACTATAACGAAAACTGTTACAACCACGACGACAGTCTTTACACCTTTCCGGTTCCTCGATTTGCCTGTCGAACTCCGAATCATGGTGTATGAAGAGCTGGTGGTTGTTGGCAAGGTCTTCTACACGCCCGACGACTACGCTGTCAAAACCGAGAAGCGCTTCAAGGACTGGAAGTCTTACCGCGCTCCACAACTGGCCATACTACGGACTTGCAAGCAAGTCCACAAGGAGGCCGAGGAAGTCTACCTTGGCAAGAATTTGTTCGTACTACCGGATGAGAGCACCAGAAGACAACCACTGATAGGATCGGGCCTTTGCCCCAACTCTATAAGCGATTATCGAACCTTCACCCATATACCGTTCCCCGATCGGTGGCTCTTCTCGGCTTCAGCACCTCGTCTCATCAAAAGCGTGAGCATTGGCTTCAGCGGGCGCTCCTGGCAAGACTTAGGCGATCAATCCGATATGAGACTTTGTAGCAATTTCGACAGCCTAGCACCTGCGGCTCGTCTCGAATTTGCGCACCAGACAGCTAAGAATTCTCTGAACGGAGAATTGGATGGCTATATCGAGGATCTTCATAGTTACTTCAAAAACGGCGGGGGCCCAATCCTGAAGCGCCTGGACTACATAGAGTTCGATCTGACGAATGCGTTTTGTCCGACAGGATGCTGTCGTATGGCAAAGCAAGAGTGGCCGCAATTCATGCTACTTGGACCGAAGAAGACAGGTTTCCTCGGAGTGATTGACAAGCAAGAGGCAAACATTATCCTGACCAAGGTGTACAACCGCCTTTGGGGTTGGGAAAAGGATATGCATGAGAATTTCGAAGGAAAGCTCTCTGGGAGCAAGAGGAAGATGACAGAGGCGTTTGGAATGGTTTTCAATCCAAAGAAGACACATTGGGAGCAGTGGAAGGTGAACACTAAGAAGTAGCGGCAGCATGAAGGACATGGTCACGCTGAGAGCATCAACAACAGTTGACATTCGCGTGGCTGGTATGATGTTAGCATGAAAACCAGATGGGGCGTCTGGTGGGGTCTAGAGGAGAGTCTTGTCTATCACAGTACGGCGCAATGTAAGCTGGATTTGTCTAAGCAATAGTCAATGAATTGATCATCAGTCGGACCAAAACCTTGGTGGCGAATAGAAGTACACATTTAAATAAGCCGATCTCTATGCTCATCATGTCCTCTCAGTGGGCATGCAAGCAAGACGAGTCTGTATCTCCTAGGCCGCAAAGACCCGTCTCGATGAGCCTGTAGAGAGGCGGGGCTAGAATGATGAAGGCTGGTGAGGTTAAGCACAACGACAAGCAGAGCCACCACAACACTTCAAACGATACGACACTTCAATCAGAAAAAAGCCCTGCCTCTGCATTTGTATTACAAGTCCCCAAATGTATCTATGCGTGCCACAACCTCGCGACAGCCTCGGTGATACCAACGTCGTTTGTCTCGAAAGAGTAGAGGGCAAGACCCAATGCGACAGTTCCGGCGCGGAGAGCCCACATGGCAGATTTTCGGACGAGGGGAACACGCTTGGTAGGGAAGTAGTCGATGATGCAGGACCTGTGATATGTTAGCCGCTGTAACTCAAGATACAATTTCGATCTACATACTCAAATCCAATATGCGAGTGGACTACCAGGAGAGCGCAGAGAATCGAGTCGGACAGCGGGTTCAGCGATCCAGCAGCGAAGGGCGCAATGGTCAAGGGAATCAGACCAGCTGAGACGATCCTCTCAAAGCTCCAGTGGTAGCTGCCGTGGGCGTAGTCGGGGTCTGGCACGGGGACGGGGTCGTTGGTGGTTCCGATGATCTTCTGGGGCAGCGGCGGCAGGATCTGGTTGCGCTGTGTGGCGTGGAAGGCGGCGATGCGGGTCGACTGGGGGATGGCTGAGCGCTGGAATGCTGGTCGCAGCGACTGGGCGAGCGGGCGGTTGAGGGTCGAGATCGCGGTCGACAGCATGCGCTGCGAGGGCTGGGCGGGCGGGCAAGCTTGCCTGAGGAGGCCGGGACGCATGACGGAGGCCATTGTGCAGTCTGATTGTCTGCTTGGGGTCGTGGAGGTCGCAAGAAGCAATATCGGGATCGCAGTCGTAGTTGACGACAATGCCTCGGATGTCGATTGCTGACGTCCCTGCCGCCCTCATTGGCCAGCGGTGGCAGCCGGAAAGTCCCGTGATCGCAGATTTGACGAAACTCATCCACCTCACCTAGGCCGCGCTGCAGCTGGACGTATCGACATCCACCCCAACCCATCACCGCCCCATCTCCCATCCCCTGCACAGCGAGCAGACGCAATGGCTTCCCGCCAGCTCGCCCTCAACCTGCAGCGCAGCATGCGCTCGCGCTCCGCCATCAACGCCGTCAAATCATCGCGGGCCTCGCCTCTGACCCGCGGCCTGGCCACGCCCGTGGCCTACGGCGCGAAGACCGAGTCGACCACCCTCGGAAACGGCTTCACGGTATGCCCGCCACTGTACGAGGATGCAGGACTGCAATTGACCCGCCTGCGCAGATCGCTACCGAGCACTCCCCGTGGGCCCAGACTTCGACAGTCGGTGTCTGGATTGACGCTGGCAGCCGCGCCGAGACGGACAGGACCAACGGCACTGCCCACTTCCTCGAGCACCTTGCCTTCAAGGTACGGACACTCAATGGCAATGGCCGGGACAGCACGCTGATGCATCGCACAGGGAACCCAGAAGCGCACACAGCAGCAGTTGGAGCTCGAGATAGAAAACATGGGCGGCCACCTCAACGCCTACACCTCGGTACGTCATACGGAACGAAGAATTCCCAGGGCCGGATACTGACCAAAACAGCGCGAGAACACCGTCTACTACGCCAAGGCCTTCAACAACGATGTCCCCGCCGCCGTCGACATTCTCTCCGATATCCTCCAGAACTCCAAGCTCGAGGCCCAGGCCATCGAGCGCGAGCGTGATGTCATCCTCCGCGAACAGGAAGAGGTGGACAAGCAGCTCGAGGAGGTTGTCTTCGACCACCTGCACGCCACCGCTTTCCAGGGCCAGCCCCTCGGCCGCACCATCCTCGGACCCAAGGAGAACATCCAGAGCATCCAGCGCGCCGACCTCGAGAACTACATCAAGACCAACTACACCGCTGACCGCATGGTCCTCGTTGGCGCTGGTGGCATCCCCCACGAGCAATTGGTCGACCTCGCCGAGAAGTACTTCGCCAACCTCCCCTCGGAGCCCCAGGACTACTCCGCCAAGTCCGCCGCTGCTGAGCAAAAGGCAAAGCCCGACTTCATCGGCTCCGAGGTCCGCCTCCGTGACGACACCATGGGCACCGCCAACATCGCCATTGCCGTCGAGGGTGTTAGCTGGAGCGACCCCGACTACTTCACCGCGCTCGTCACACAGGCTATCGTCGGTAACTGGGACCGTGCCATGGGTACCTCCGACTACCTTGGCAGCAAGCTCAGCAACTTTGTCTCGCAAAACGCCCTCGCCAACAGCTTCATGAGCTTCTCCACCAGCTACTCGGACACTGGGTACGTCATACCGGAATGATGCTATAACTATTCGCTAACAAAACCTAGTCTCTGGGGAATCTACCTCACCAGCTCCAACCTGACTCAGCTCGACGACCTCGTCCACTTCACCCTCCGCGAGTGGTCCCGCCTCTCCATGAACGTCACCTCCGCCGAAGTCGAGCGCGCCAAGGCCCAACTCAAGGCCTCGATCCTCCTCGCCCTCGACGGCACGACCGCCGTCGCCGAGGACATTGGCCGCCAAATCGTCACCACCGGCCGCCGGTTATCACCCGAGGAGGTGGAGCGCGTCGTCGGCCGCATCACAGAGAAGGACGTTATGCAATTCGCCCGCAACAGGCTGTGGGACAAGGACGTCGCTGTCTCGGCTGTGGGCCAGATTGAAGGTCTGTTGGATTACAACAGGATTAGGAATGATATGAGCAGGATGCTTTCATAAGCAGGCTTGAGAGGGAAGAGGATGAAGGAAAGGAAAGGATAGGAGAGGAAATATGTGCATAGTAAGATGATGCTGTGAAAGCGTTTTTAGACGGCATAGGTTACTATTGTAGTTTTTTGTATGAAGTACTCTGGTTGATGATGTATTTTGACAAGGAAGATCTTTTTCAAATATGCTTGTGGTGTGCAAATGACTGTGTGTATGTGATTGATTTTGTAAGTCTGATTGTGGAGTGTAACTGCTGTCTGGCAATCCCAACACAGTCTGATCATATATACATCACCATCCTTACACCCCAATACCCCACAAACTCAGTACACTCACCTTCCGTCTATCTTAAGGCGCCAAATTCTCAATCACCAACCAGACCCCCTCCTTCCCTCCTGCTCCTGTTTCCCCCGCTTTCTCAACCCCTCCTCTCGACATCCCTCCAGCTGCCATACCCTTCACCCCCCTCTTCTCCCTCTTCATCTCCTCCCTCGCCTCTCGCCACTCCTTCTTCACAGCCAATCTCTCCTTCTTCAACTCCTTCCTCTGCGCTTTATACTCTTTCTTCGCAGCTTTCCATTTCGGATCCCTCTTCGCTTTCTTCGTCGCGTTTCCTTTGCCTTTGCTTTTTTCTGTTGTTGATAGGGAGGAGTGTTTGGCTTTGAGTTCGCGTTTCTTGGCTTTGTGGTCCTTTTTGAGTTGGCGGTTCCGTTGTTTGATCTGGCGGCGTGCGAGCTTGAGGGATTGGGCTTTGGGGGTTGTGGCGGGGGTGAAGTCGGAGTCGGGGTCGTAGTCGTAGTCTGAATCCGAGGAGTCTGAATCTGAGTCTGAACTATCAGATGAGAGGGAAGAGGTATCATCGTCGTCATCCAGGTCCCTGACTGCAGCTTTCCCCTTATCCTTCGTATCGGCCGGGTACCCCGTATCGACTTTACGATCGCCATATAGCACGCCCGTCTCCTGTCCTGGCGGTGCAGCATAAGCAGGTGGGAGGTCGTCGTGGACTTGTTCGTACGAGGCAGGACCTGAGGTAGTAGACCCTCCATTGCCACTCATACTCACACTTGCACCTGCATTTCCACCTCCACTTCCACCAACATTCCCCCCAGCCATCCTCCCCACCTCCACCCCAAAAGCACTCGCCCGCTTCCCAATCTCCACACCCAAATCACCCATATGTCTACCGAATTGCTCCCCAATCTTGCCTAATTCTTTGCCTACTTCCGCCCATTCGTTCGCGGACTGTGGTGGTCCACGTCCGCGTCCGCGTCCACCGCGAGGGGAGCAGCCTCCTCTACCGAAGAAGGCGTTGCCGCGAGGTCCAAATGGTCCTCCTCGACCGCCGCGCCCGAAGGGGCCGTTGCCGGGCTGGCCGAAAGGACCGTTGCCGGGTGCACCAAAGGGGCCATGACCTGGCATACCAAACGGCGACCAGTGACCGCCTCGTCTGCCGCGGGGATGATGGGCGCCTCGTCCATGTCGACCATGTGCGTGTGAGGATTCCTCTGGAGGTCCGGGGATGGAGTGAGGTGGGTCTTCGTGTGCACCAGCAGATCCAAGACCGCTGTTTCCAGCATAGTCAGGCGAGCCAGTAGCCGTCGTCGGACCTGAGAAATGTTCCCTCATCTCATGCAATTTAAGCACTCTCTCGCTCGGCAGCGGCACGGCGTCAGCGTCGAGAGCTTCGATCCAGGGGTATAATTGCCTTGCCCGCCATTCAGCCGTTGCAGTCTTATCGGCCAGGTTGGCGAGGACGCTGGGTTTGTGGCCCGCTGGAATGGGTAGCGTGTCTAGAAGCGCAGTCTCGCTGCGGAATGACACAATCAGGCCTCTTGGCGCGAAGAAGGCTTCATTCGCTCCTCGAATGTAGTCGTGTACGATGCTGGAAGAGAGTCCTTGATGGGACGGTTCGTGTAGCAAGTCTTCGGCCGTCGTGTGCGCCGCTGTGGTCAGGACTTGTAGACCGTACAGGAAGTCGGCAAACTCGGCTGGCTTGATGGAATGCCGGTCCAACACTTCGGCGTACGCAACTAAGAAATATACGTGTTCGTCTGCACGTCTTGCTGGTCCTGCATGCTCGGGTATCGCGATGATGCGGTTTAGATGCGGTGCATACTGCGCCCTCGCATCTGGTTCTTCACGGCTGAACTCTAAGGCTTGGGTGAGCAGGTCAGAAGCTAGATCGGACTGTTTCTCTTTGCTCGACGAAGAAGCAGGTTCGTTATGAACCCTTCCCACAGCGATATTCTCACTCGTACTGACATGCTGGACTGGAACACTGGTGGCCTTGTCGTTTGTGTGATTCGCATAGTCTGGTGCGCGTTCCTGTTCACTTGCGGGATCTGTTTCTTCGCCTCTTACGCGGTACTCCCATATTTCTGGCTCGTTTGGTCCTTCGTTGGTGGTGATGCGGTGGGCTTCGATTTGGCTGGGGTCTACAGGCGCGATGCCATGACGGGTGTCGTGGTTGGCTTGGTCGCGGGCCTCGTCGTAGGATGGTGGCAAATCTTCATATTGTGGGCCTCCTGGGCTGTGGACGGGGGTTGGCTCATATTCATTGTCGGAGGAGTCGGCGATTGAGGTTGCGCTTGGTGTGAATGCTGTGTTGGACTGTGATGATATCGACGGGGGTGGTGGGTTGGATGTGAGATTGGTATTGGCGGGGTATGATGGTGGGCCGGCCATAGTTGAAGTAAATCACAAAAGCCAGTGTTGATTCAATGTGACGATGTAAAGTAAGACGTGGAACTTAGAGAAAGCGTACTTAAAGTTGAGGCGTAAAGACAGACTAGAAGCTTGTTTGTTCGTACCTACTCCACTGCCCTGCACAGCCTCACAGGAAGCTGCTGCCTTCAGATGCGGGGAGATGCCCAATCGCAACTTCCAACTCGAAACCACGCGTTTTGTCTAGCACTATTCAACGTCCAGTAAAACGACTCAACTTGTCAGATATGACGCGTGGGCAAGAGGGCCGCAGCTGCGCAGCACTTGAGTCGGGAAACGGTGTGTGAGAGTGGGGCTGGCCGTGGCGTAAGCCTCGGGCGTCTCTGTGGCCAAAGAGCCAATTACAAGACCCAAGCCTGTCCTGTTTCGGCACACCAAGATGTTAGAGCTGAGAGAGCGCATCATGTGTGTTATACAGTAAAGTATGTAAGATATAGATGTTTTGGCGGAGTGCGCGACGTTAAGTGTAGCCTTGGTCTTCCCTTCCACTTGCGTCGGAATTGCTCGGCCCAACAACACGGCCGTAAGGTCCACACGCGATATCTGGGGTCAACTCGCTTTCGGCGTGAGAGTGATCGCGCTACGGTTCCCAAGTCTTCTAAATAACACGATTGTTGCGGCGTCGATTGCGATCGCTGTGTTGGTCTGAAGAGCAGGTGGCGAGAAACATACGCAAAGACGCATCATCACGACTAGCATCATGGAAGACGCTCCCACTGTAGCAGTCATAGGACTAGGTAGAAAACCTCCTACTTGACATGACAAAGCAACTAACTGAACCTCCCAGGACCGGCTGGCATCGTAGCATTAAAGAACCTGCGAGAAGAAGGATTCCACGCCACAGGTTTCGACCGCAACGAGCACGTCGGCGGATTATGGCAGTACTCGGAGAAAGAGCAAACGTCGGTAATGCAAACCACAACCGTAAACGTCTCAAAAGAACGATCGTGTTACACTGACTTCCCCTATCCGGACGACGTACCGTCGCATCCAGCGGCTACGCAGGTTCAGCAATACTTGACAGACTATTCGAAGCATTTCGGATTGGAACCTTATATGCGGCTTAGTACTGCCATCGAGCAAATCACGTTCGATGACGAGCGGGAAAAATGGGTTGTGGATGTAAAAGATGGTGGGAAAGAGTACTTTGATAAAGTTGTTGTAGCGATTGGGGGTATGGTTGGTAAGGCCAATCTGCCAGTCATAGAAGGCGTGGAAAAGTTTGCTGGACCCAGTGTACACTCACAAGCTTTCAAGAGGCCGGCAGACTACAAGGGGAAGAGAGTCATGGTTGTAGGGTTCAGCAACAGTGCGGCGGATACATCTACTCAGCTGGTGGGAATAGCAGATAAAGTGTATTTGGCACATCGGCATGGAGCTCGGGTTGTAAGTTGGAAGGGAACCTTGTTGATGTGCGAAGGTCTTGAGACTGACAATGGTTCTTGTAGTTCCCGCGGCGCATAAAGGGTGTCCCGATAGACCACACGCACAATCTACGCCTCGCCACCTTCCAAAGCCTTATCATAACATACTTCCCTCGCCTCGGCGAGTTCCTCTTCGATAAATTCCTCAAGAAACTGCAAGACCAGAGTTTCAACATCCGCCCTGAATGGCGCTTCGAGCCCGCAAGTAAGGTACCAGTGGTATCTGATACGTTAGTCCCCTGCCTCGAGGACGGCAGCATCACATCAGTCGCAGGCATCAAACGCATTGTGAATGCTACTGAGGTAGAGTTGCAAGACGGGACAAAAGTTGACGTGGACGCAATAATCTGGTGTACGGGCTACAAGTCCGACTTCAGCATGATCGAGCCGCGTTTCAATCCTGAATGTCGGCCTCAAGCGTGGCTCGACGCGCCGGGCTCGAATGGGAAGTCGCTCTTCCGTCTCTACAAGAACGTGTTTTCACTCGAGAAGCCGGATAGTCTGGCGTTCATGGCTGCTGTACACATAACGATTAGTGGGTTTAAGATTTTCGGTGAGCGACTCTAGGTATGATGATTAGGCGAGACATGTGCTGACGACGATTAGACTTGACGACCATGGCTATAGCCCAGGCCTGGGCGGGCAAATCATCTCTACCTTCACTTCCGGATATGAAGCTTGCTGTGGATAAACACCACGTGTGGTTAGCAGAGACGGCAAAGCGTGTTTACAATTTGTCGCCAGGGCAATGTGAGACAGGTGATTGGGTCGCGGCCATGGACGGTCTTGCCGGTACGGGTGTCAATGAGTACCTGGGATACGGGTGGAAAGGCTGGCTGTTTTGGCTTCAGAACAGGAAGTTCTGCAATCTGCTGATGGGCGGGATATGGAGTCCGCACATACATCGCGTGTTCAGCACAGGCAAGAGGAAGTGCTGGGATGGGGCGAGGGAGGCGATTGAGAGAGTAAACGAAAGTGTTGCTAAGATGAGGAAAGAAGAAAAGAAGAAGAGCGGTTGACGGCTGCTCGGGGTTCTGGTTCGCGAAGGGGCCAGGGCGTGCTCGAATGTTCTCTGGTGAGCTTCCCCACACATGACGACAGGCGTTATCACGAGGGTTCATGGCTGTCACTTTTTGCATGGCGCAGTACATATGCCTCGCAACGAATATCTCGAACATCCTCTATAGTTACCGACTCGAAATAAAGACCATCTCATTCTTACACGGCCATTACAGTTGTCCAGGTGACGTGAAAGGGTAAACCTTGGTCGGCATACCACAAGGCTGACAGTCAACCAATCGCAGCACGGGCCGTTGCACAACAGCTGGGGAAGGCGCGACGGGCAGCAGCCAATTTCGATTTCTTTCCACACGCCACGCCGCACACACTGAAACACGTCAATCGCGAGTTATATGGGCAGAGGCATTGTCTGCACCCGAACACACCACGCGAATCGCTTCCATCCAAACATCCACGAGCCCGGAATGGCGACGCAGACGCTGCACGGCTCCTGCGCGTGCGGACGCAACCGCTATGTCATTGAGATGCCGACACAGCAGATTCGCCAGGCCGAGCTGCGATACGACAATACCTCTGCGTCACGTAAGTACACGCCGAGTGTTGTGCAGCCCAAGTCTGCTTTGGGTTGCCGCGCGCTACTCTCCAACACGGTGCTAACAAGACTCTAGGACACCACTCAGCGAACCCCCTCACACTCTGGCTCCGCGTCCCTCTGCCATGGTACACCTCGGCGACGTTTGCGCAATATCCCGACGAGACGCGTCTGAGCATCAAGCGCAGCTTCGTCAACCCCTACACCTCGAATACCCGCCGTCAGTTCTGCGGATACTGCGGCACACAGCTCTCGTCATGGAATGAGCGGACGAGAGACGAGGCCGAGCACATCTCCCTGACCGTCGGCAGCCTGCTCGACGAAGACCAAGACATGCTCGGCGAACTCGGCTTCCTGCCCAGCAGCAGCGAGAGCAGCGACGACGAGGACGAGACATCCGCCGCCGGACCCTCACGGACAAACCGCCCTCGCACGGTCGTCCGCTCAGAACCTCAATCGCGAGGCGCGCCCTGGTTCGAAGAGATCGTACGCAACACCCGCCTGGGCCGCTTCAAGCAGCAGCGTGGCGGACACTCCGAGAGCGGCGTGCACGTCGAGTGGGAAGTCACCGAGTGGACCGAGGGCGACGACAACGCCGACGAGGGCAGCGCGACGCCCAGCAAGCGGAAGATTGGCGACGTGGACGATGCCGAGGATACCGAGATGCGCAGCGCGTGAGCCTGGTACTTTCTTTCACACGGAATGAGTTGGATTGAAGATGGATTTGAATATGTCACTAGAAACGGATATCGCTCACGCGTAAATGAGGACGAAACGTATGTAATCACTGGACCTCTGGCGGAGCGACATGACATGGGAATATGGAGTTGAAGGTGCGTTTGTTTATCTTGTGTACAGTATCTAAGAAATATAGCCATACATAGGAAGGCTGTAGCAACATGCGCTATATACTATGTTTGTTGTTTTGTAGTTGCACCCTATTGCGCTGTAACTACAAAACAGGAAACATAGCATATAGCGCATGTTACTACAGCTTTCCTATCCGGCGCATGTCACCTAAAAAGCTTTGGTGATAATGCACTGGACGTGGGTGGACCAATCTACTTTCTTTTTTCGCTGAAGACATTTGTATTTCCCGACCGTACAGCCATTGTCAGCGTATCACGCCTTTGTTTCTCCATGGATCTCGAATTTACGCCCCAATGTCACTGCATCGCATGGTATCAAGTCGCACAACCAATGAAGGACTTCAGGGCTACCAGAGCCGCTTAGCACGCGTGGGGGATAGCGCGGGCGTAAGCGGCTCGATGAACGCCCGTCTTCCGTTCTGTCACAACACGCATCAAACCCACATTCCAGACTTCATGTGGGGAGAGCAGAGAACACATCAATCGTTGTAAATTTCCTAATGAATCTTCAAGCCCGGTAAAAACATTCCACCAACATCTCCCGATCCACCTCCAAACTCCAATTCGGAGTAATCATTTCAATCACTTATCTCGCCTTACGCCACCTCGTTACCCAAGATATCTCCGCATCCAAATGCGCGTATCTCCCGGGATGCCCTCTCCACCAAACCGCACTCTGCACTTCTCATTGGTTGGGTCGTTCCTGGATCCGTAACCCCGGGATCTTTACTTATCTTACACCCCTGGTCCACCATCGCTCGCCTGAGGTTCTCTTATCAGTTCGACATGCATGACTGCGACACAACGTGATTAGTGTACGCTGATGTCTGATATCCCGTCACCCGTCTCCACGGTATCCATCGAAGCTGCGGGAGTGCGGAGATGGTCGGATGCGAACGTTGCACTTCGCTACACTCATGTAGCCTGGTCTTTTTCTGGGTTGAATTGGTTTGTTGGGGCTGACTTTTGGCGTGACGGCCGTGACCGGGGCGTAGAGACGGCATCTAGCAACTGGGTACACAGCTACTAACTCGAGATTGCATGGTTGCTGGTAGG